GTATACACCTGCAATCCGGAGATACAGCTAAAACGTATGACACGATTCTCCATTCTGTTGCCACCAAACCGAATGTATAAACTGCCTAACTTGAAACATAAGGCAGCTACTAACGACTCTTGCGCACTCATCTCCCAGCGAGCCACACCGCATCGCCGAGGGCGCAACTTGAAACAAAAGGCAGCTGTAAATAGGTCAAAGATTAGCTCGCCGAGTGTTGCGTCGATATCCAAATTATCTATTTATATTATATTATACTACTTCTGATATATATGCAATTATATACCTACAGGCTACACTTATATATAATACATATAGTAATATAAAGATGATAAAACTGATACTGATACTGATAGATGTATTGTATTCAGTCAATACAGTATTGTAATTTGTAATTTGTATGATAAAACAAGTCATGACATATGAAGATAATTATCTTCTTTAAGATATAAAAAGTTGCTCGGCAGCTTTTTATGGAGGCAGAAGATTTTGCAATAGATGGGATGTCACTGTCAGGCAGTCTGTAAAGTATTGGCGTTTCAGTCCGTTAGGCATTCAGGCGACCGCATACATGCATCGCCTTGCAACCACAGGTGGAGCAGAGACGGAATAGGGCAAGGAGATCAGTAAGGAATACAAAATACTGCGGCTCCAGGTTTGGTGGCAAGGAATCACATCCGGCTGGTTGGATAGGATTCCTATGTATTACGCAAACACAGGTCAACAGAAATGCATGTGTACAGATTCCAGTTGTATTACATGTATGTACATTGGCCTAACCACTCACGTTTCCACGTCAGAGTCACTACTGCAATGCCAGTCAGGAGCTATCTCGCTGGTGTCAGGTAGCTCCATTTCAATATCACTATCGTCATCATCCCTGAGTGTGGCTGGCACTGCCAAGTTGCAGGTCTGGCTAGCAACCGACTTGGTAGCGACATATGTGGAAACCCTCTCAGTCTCATCTGTTTGAACACCTAGGGTTAACATGTACATATCCACATAAGCTTACACATTCATACAGTATACATATATGTATGTAATTGTTTGTATTTATTAGTTTGTTATTAGTTATTACAGCTATATACAGTACTGTGTAGTTAGTACAGTTGTATAAGTACCAATTGTGTATATATACTGACCAATGTCACAAGTCTCAACTGGACTATTTCCAAATGATGCTTGGGTGTGCTTCGACCTCACGTGTGGTTTAATTCCAACTTGACACACAAAGGATCTGGATGCCACTGTGGAGGAATCTGCAAGGTCAGCTGTGTCAGTAGCCGTCACTGCTGTTGCACTTGTGCTGGTTCCATGTCCGTAAGGGTCCATCAGCTCATTAATGACCTGACCGAGTAAAGACAAATATATAGCACTCGCCTTCAAATGGTTGATATAATCATCTTTTAATAATCACATTATCATGTCATTATGTCATTAACACATTTAGGGATAGTGATTTTCCGTTTCAAAAAATTGCCTTTTCCGTTTGGGAAAATCATGAATTCCGTTCCAAAGAAAAAAAAAGAAGGAAATTCCGTTTTGCCATAGAAGATTGTACACGCCAAAAATGCAAAATTCCGTTTACATATATTTGCATTAAAAAAAAGTATTTGGTACAACCTTTAAAACCGGAACCGGCACCGAAACACAGGGCTACCAAAAGTCGTAATTGTAAGTCATTTCGCTCTGAAACTTGTCTGAATGTAAACCATATCATTACCAATGCTATTGTCGACTGTTTTTTTGTGATTTTATTGAAATTTCTATATTGTAATATGTTGAAATTACGTTTTCCGCATTTTCCCGTTTGAAAACATCTTTTCCGTTTCCAATGGCCGTTTCCGTGTTTTCCGTCCGTTTTCCGCGATCGCGGAAAATCACTGTCCCTACACATTAAAGTAACCATTAAAATAAGTAATGGTGGTTTATAAAGCTGGGTCTTGGTAGATGCTGCTGCACTTACGCGCTGACGTTCACGTTTTTCAAATGCACCAAATCGACTTCGTTTCTGTGGAGGACGCATCTGCAACATTTTAGACATGTTTACGCGCTAGTATTACACACATTCATATATGCACAGAAAACAGCAAGCGGGACAGAGTCATCAGACAGCAGTGAGAAGATGTTGGGGAAAGAGTTTGGAGGAAGTGCAGCACTGCAACCCTACCACAGAGATGCCAACCACTATGATTTATCCGTATTTTATACGAATTTCTATTCCTTTTGCACCACTACGACCAGTTTGTATCAAACTACGAATTTCACTGTGATCGGAAAAAATATAATTTTGTTATATATTTCTTTTTTATTTATTGCAATTTTTGACCCTCTGAATGCAGGAAATTGCATCTTAGAATCAAAAGATTTTCCGGGGGGCATGCCGGACCTCCCTAGCAAACTCGGGTCACTCACTACGTGACCCTCAAACAACTAATTTGATGGCCAGAAACTACAGATTGCTTTAAATATGTGTTGGCATCTCTGCTACCAGTTTCAGCCTTTGTCGAGCTCCAGTGAAAGTGACGAAGCAGGATTAGCAGCTAGAAATAGTCAATCATGGCGATTGAAAAACATGGAATGGTAATTAACATTCACATTCAACAGGTGTGAATGAGGACGCCCAACATTTATCAATTAACAGGTAACACCGCTACAAAACCTTTTAGGTGCAGATGTGGGTGTTGCAAAAGATGGGAAGACATGAGTGAGAGTAAGTGTCTGCTGCTGGGAGATTCCCAACGTCGCACACAAAACAGAGGTGGACGAGCTGCAGCCTGCATGTCTCACACAGAGAGTGTCTGCTGCAGCCTGCATGTCTCACACAACATGCTGGGTTCGGCTCAGTTTTCCTAAACGTGTGGACTCTCCAAGCTGCCTTTTACCAATATCGGCAGCAGTACACACCAACGCAGCAGGTTCCACACGTTAAAGTATGTATATAGACAAGGTCAAAACTTCAAATACAGACTAGACTTCTTTTTTTTAAACTTGACATGCTCATGCTGTTATATTTATAGGCAGTTCCGCTACATTGGATATCGGCAGATGGTGCTGGGGAGTGCTGGGGAGTGCTGGGGAGAGATGTCAGGGTGGCAATACCTGCATGTGCAGTGTTTAAAATTAGGGAGGCATTCCCATCGACTTCTGAAACATATACAGGTTTTAAATATCCATCTTTGGACTAATAGTTTTCAATTTTAAAATTTTAAAATTTGTAAAATTTATTGTTTATAATAAAGTTAACTTTTGTGGTAATATTAATAGAAATTGTCTTAGCTGTTTATTTTTAGAATAAAAGCCTAATCAATTCTCCCTAAGAAAGATACCAGTAGTGATGTAGTGTTGAACTACGGAGAGTGAAGTCGACTAACTTACTGAATGGTCTCCAGTCTCTGTCCTTGAGGAATCCGGGCGGGGAAATATACTGGGCACACTACCCGGGAGCAACAGTCTTCTTTTTAGCTTGCTTATTAGTCCATAGCTGAATTGTCTTTCTCTAGATGGATCCAAATCTTCTGGTTTAAAATGTGCACTGCACACACATGGTCTGGCTTTCAGAGATGGTCGCGGCTCCTTGAAATCCAGTCGTCTGCGCCGCACTGCCTTCGTCCATAGCCGACTCAAACCTAATGAAGATGAGAACTCTATTATTAAAAATTAAATAATTATTCAAGTATACTGGCTAACTAGCGTATAACAAGTAACTAGCGCGGTGTGGTCGACTAGTGGATAGTGTGGCGAGACTATAGTATATCCTCAGGGGGCGAAATTAATGGGAGTCCGGAGTCATCACAATACTCCCCGATCTGTACTGCGGACTACCCTGATTTGAACATATGCACAGGAGTCCGTGTGACTCCCTTGAAAATTTTGCCAATACTAATGAGTTGTTCGGACAGCCAGTCCTGCGCGGAATTACCGTATTTTTTCAGCAGGAATGCCGAAGAAGAAAAATTTGGCAGACGTGCACGCAAGTGAATCTTCAAAATAAGAACAGTGCGGTTGTGTGTTCCGGTTGTTGTTAATTGATCTTTTATTTTGTTGACTCCAGACTTGGCGACTTTCCCTCATTTTGCCGCGGACTGCCCTCCTTTTTGCAGGGCGAGGGGCTTAGCCGGCCGAAGTGTGGCACCCTGGTGTGGGGCGGATAATTTAATGGAAGAAATTGGTCATTTTTGGAAATAATAGATCTGAAGGTTATCATTGAATGGATATTCAATACAGCGACCAGTTTCTGAAATATTTGGCTTAAAATTATGTATTTGTGCAGTACAGTATATTCCGATAGCATTCAGAAAAAAAAGAAGGACAAAGATTTGAAATTTTAAGACGATAGAAAAGCTTTAATTCTGAGTGTTTTATAAACATGGTTTATTTTTCTTTTTGTGGTGAATGTCGTGAGAATGCGTAAGGGCATTCGGGAGTGCGGAAATGGTGTCCAGATGCGTCGAGTCTCCCGCGAAATGCGTGAACGACTTGCGTAGGTCTCGCGTATACAAGTAAAGATGTTAATATCTGAAAGGTTGAAAATTTTATTTTCAGGTGCCGTCAAAGTGCAGTCTAAAGATATTCGCAAATGTTCTCCAAATGTTTTGCTTGGGGGGAACCGCACGCCACCTCGTACCTCTCCTTCCTCCCGCATCTGCCTGCAGAATCCACAATTCGTGCCTATTATTCTTCATGACTCGGTATTACTTATTTTAATGTGAATACTTGTATCTATTTTGATAGTTCATGGAGTTTATTGGTTTCCTTTTGACAACTTGAAAAAGAGATTCAAGAGTCTCATTGACAATGCAGGGGTAAGAATATAAACGAGAAAAAGAGAGATGGGTCCACAGGCGACCATCTCGTATTAAAATTTTAAGATTTGGTCCGGTGCTCGCTCAATTTCAAATTGTTCTCTAAAAGTAATACGGCATGCCGAAGCGTAAATTTAAACCGTAAAAATGGCCGAGCCG